AAACCACAACACATTTGCTTTGTGCTTGGCAAAAGAACTTTCAGAACAGTATTATCTCTACTCCTCAACATTCTCCTGTCTCTCTCCAACCTTCACCTGGTTCACCAAAGTCCTCATCATGCATCTCTTTGCTCATCAATGAAACTCCTGCAACAGTAGTTCACTTACCAGTCTATGAAACTCCAGCTCCTCTGCCTACAGCTGTCTCATCTACACCTGCAACGCCTATACCTTTCTCCAGCACCATTGTTTACAGAGGAAAACTTTCCTCCGCTCTCACCTTCTGTAGTGTCTAGTACTGCTGTTGGAGATAGTTCTGAGTGTACGACAGACCTTGATCCTGCTTCTATTGGTAACAACTATCTCCAATCATCTGCCACGACAGACACTGCAGAGCTTTATTCTCTTTCTTCTGCTGCTCTTACTCATCAAATGGTTACTCGATCTAAGTCAGGAATCATAAAACCAAACAAACAGTACCTTCTGTTTGCAGTCAATTTTCCTCCACCGGAGCCCAAAACCGTCTCTACAGCTTAAAACACCCTTGCTGGAATGGTGCAATGGGTACAGAAATGAAATCCTTTGAGGACACCAAAATGTTCTCTCTTGTTCCCTATGATCCATCTATGAATATTCTTGGTTGCAAATGGGTTTTTAGGACAAAAATTCATGCTGATGGCACTCTAGATAAATCAAAGCACGTTTAGTTGCCAAAGGTTTTGAACAAGAAGAAGGAATCAACTACTTAGACACTTATAGTCCTGTAGTCAAATCTGCGACTGCTCGAACCATTTTACACACTGCAGTGGTTCACAAATGGGACATCAAGAAACTTGATGTAACCAATTCTTTCCTACATGGTAAATTGAAAGAGACAGTTTACATGCATCAGCCTCCAGGGTACATCGATCCAGATAAGACAGGATATGTTTGTAAACTGCACAAAGCCATTTATGGCCTTAAGCAAGCTCCAAGAGCTTGGTTCGACAAATTCAGTAATTTTTTCATTGAATTTGGTTTCACCTGCAGCAAATTGATATATCATGGTTTTTATGGTTTTTAACCATGGTATAAGTCTTATTTATAGAGTCTTTTTAGTGTCTTTTGAGTCTTTTGGAGTCTTTTCAGGTCATAGGTACGTTTGTGATAGACAAGACTTTTTAGGGTCTCAGGGCTATCAATCCCCTTGTCAATGTAGCACAAAGAGGTTTATCAATCCAGATGTGGTGTTAGACACTAAGCTATATGATCAAGTTCTTAATTCAAGCAAACAAGAGTGGGTTTTGATTAATCTAGAGACAACTATAAACATAACAGGATTAAAGACTAATGACAATGACAAATGATATGAATATGATATGATGGAGGCATGAGATTCTAGACATGATAGTTGGTTAGGGTGCTTTGGTGTTAAACTAGAAATGCTAATGACAATGATGAGACATGATTCAAATGATTAAGAACTCTAATCTAGGTTAATCCTCTCATGAAGGTATTAACCCCTATACTAATCCATTTTCAAACCAAATTCCCATTTGTGAAATATGAATCAATATGCATTAATAAACAGTTCTCAATGATCATTCAAGCATTTAACAAATCATTCCCATGATGAAAAATTGCTTAAACCTCTAACACAACTCTTTCAGGAATTTCATCAAACACTTTTGGTGCATGAAATTCCCAGAATCTAGATCTCAAGTGATTATCAAGGATCTAGCATAGAGAACAGTTGTTTAGAGAAATGAATCAATGAATCTAGCCCTAAGCACTCCTAATCTAACACTTTAGCACCCTAACCTACACATCTAGAACCTCATTAAGGTAACTACTCACTAATCATGATCAACACACTAGATCCTTTGCAAGATGTGTTGTTAATCATGATTAGAAGTTGATTTTGATGATAAGAAATGATGAACAAGAAGGAAAGAAACTGCAAATCGATTTTAAACTCTCTAAAACAAAGTGTATTCAGTAGGTTTTCACAAAAGGGGAAAGAAGACTAAAAGTAGATTAAGTGTTCTCTACAGATTAGCTCTAAAAACCTTATAAAGGAGGCTTGGGCGAACCGGGTCAACCCGGAACAAACCGGGTACTGACCCGGCCTTGATGGGCAAAGAAGGGTTTGCCACGGTCTGGTGTGTCCTTGGTGTGACCGTGGCATTCCTGACCGTGTCAAAGACTTCATTTGTGTTCTTGGTTCATTTTGATGCCACGGTCTGATCAAGCTTCATCTGGAACTCGTGGCAAGCTACCGTGTCAAACGCCGAAGATGTGTAAAGGTTGCCACGGTCAAGCCTCCAGACCGTGGCATTCAGACCGTGCCAAAACTCGCATGCGTGTGAAATCCTTCCCAGCCAAGTTTATGCTTGCCACGGCCAAGTCTCAGGCCGTGGCATTGAAGTCGTGTCAAAAACCGAAGCTGTGTAGAAGTTGTCTCTAGCCACTTGTTCATTTGCCACGGTCAAGTCCCAGACCGTGGCATTCAGCTCGTGCCAATCGCCGAAGGTTGCAAGAAGTTGCCACGGTCAAGCCTCAGACCGTGGCATTTAGGCCGTGTCAATCGCCGAAGGATGCAAGAAGTTCCTCTCAGCCAAGTGTGTGTTTGCCACGGTCAAGTGTAGACCATGGCATGAAGATCGTGTCGTTGGCCGAGGGTGCACAAAAGTTGTCACGGCCAAGTGTGGACCATGGCATTGAAATCGCGGCATGTTTAACTTAGTCATCCTGGGCTGTCTGGACCATCTCGCATTCCGGAGAGTGTAACTTCCTGGAGACCTGTCCGAATTGAGTAATTCCGGTTGCAGAAGACAGAGGGCTGATTTATCTCCAACTTTGATGAAGGAAGTTTCAGTTCTTGCGAAGTGTAAGGTTTCCTGGAGGGCACATCTTTGAAGTGCATTTACACGACCAGAGAGAGGCGTCTAGACATGTGTCCATTCCGGAGACCGTATCTTTCTTCTCAAAGCTCCGAATTGACTGATCTCGGATGTTCTGGAAAGAAGACTCAAATGTCTCTAATTCTCATGAAGGCCCCGGAAACTGAATCGGCCTGGAAGTGCACCGTCCTTCGCATCCTTCAAAACTGATCTGCTCGGTCCGGAATACCTGCGAGACAGGGGTTCCTTCCGACGAGCTTATCTCTCTGCTCACGCGTCCGAATTCCACGATTCCACTTGCTATGAGACCGTGCTCCAATGCTCTCCAACTTCTATGAAGGACCTGCCGTCTGAATCGGACCGGAAAGCTCCCCGGACAGGCGATTTCTGAGACTCGTTCAAACCCAGAGATTTTGGCCGATACACTTCGTTCGCGGTACATGGAAATGGCCGGTAAAGCTTCCTGCGGTACATGAAAATGGCCGGTAAAACCTTCCTGGCCAGCGAGAATGGCCGATAATCTCCCAAGACCCAATTTTTCTACTTTTTCAAGCTTTGCTCACCATTCCACCTCCTGGATTCATCTTTTCAGCTCCATATTCACCTGATAGACACTCAAAACATGCAAAGACTCATTGGGACCTAATGCATCTCCTAAGTTCTAAAACAAACCCTAAGGACCTAAAATGCATGAAATAAAACATGATTTGGAATGATTTATGCAACCTAAATGATGCAAATTATGAACATATCAGTTTGGAGCTTAACTGGAGATTTTGGAGCACTTTGGAGCTTACTCAGGATCAAATTCGTCAAGCATGGATTTTGTGCCTTAGTGTCGCTCGACACCATGGAGAGTGACGCTCGACACTTGTCAAAGAAATAAGGAAAAGGCGATTTTGTTTCCTATTTGAAGAAGGAGTTGGGCCCAAACGTTTTCAAGGAAGCCCAAGACGTGTCTTAGAGATATATATAGGATTTTTATTCCCTTTTTACGATCACCTTAGATTTTTGAGAGAGAGATACTCTGAGATTTTTGAGAGAGAGACAAGTCTGTACTCTGTTCGTTTAGAGAGAAGATTTCAAACCCCTTTATCTATTTCGATTTAATCTATTGCTTTCTATTCATCATGTTTGTTGTTTCAATAACCATGTCTGAGTAGATCACCTGTTAGGTTTAGGGTTTAATTAGGGTTTTCTTTGAATGTTTGATTAACTTGCTAGTTAGGGTTCATATCTGTTAGTTCTTCATCTTAGGTTGTTCTTAAAGCTAATTCTGGATTGTCACCTAGAACTTAGATCTTAGGTTGCTTGATTGACACGGAAGTGTAATTGAATAACTGGAAAGAACCTGAGTTGAGCAAAGTAACTATTCGCAAAGGAATTTGGTTTAGGAGTTTTGTGAACATATCGAACTTGTGCAATTAAGGCTGGTTTAAATCTGTAGGATTTGCAAAGGAATTTGGAATTCTAGGATTTTAACTTAGATAATTCTCACAACGGAAGTTGGTTAATTATAGTTCTGTGTTTCGAGTTCAAGAACCGTGCTTAATAACTGAACCCTGACTTGTTAAGTTGATTTGCATCCATTGATCTCCTGAAAATCACCCTAGACCTATCCTTTATCACATCGAATTTACAACTGTTTTCATCGCTGCTTTATTTATTTCTGTCGCTTTGTTATTTGTTTCGCAGACTTCGGCTTAGCGTAACTCCATCTACACAAGGTTCATTGAGTGATTTCTAGTCTCTGTGGTTCGACCCCTAGATACTACAACTGCACATCTGTGCTCTTGCAGAGTAGCTTAGGGATTAAACTTTAAGCAGATCAAGTTTTGGCGCCGTTGCCGGGGACTTGATTTCGCCATTAAACCTAGTTTTTGAGTTTCGACTAAGTTTTTCGACCTAGTGTCGAGCGACACCACTTGTGGTGTCGCGCGACACCTTTCTTTTTATAACCTAGTTTACTTATTTTGTTTTCTCTTTTTGTTTTTGGTGTTTGAGGTTTATGCATACCCGTGGAACCAGAAGCAACAAGGACATCCCGCTAGTGAATTTGAGCAACGAGGAGCTAGCTGAATTAGAATAACGAACAGGAAAGCAAGGGATCCGGCAATGATGGAAAACGCCAATGGACTTGTTCGTGATGATGATGGAATCTGGAGAGACCAAGAGGTTCATGTGTGCAATGCGAGAGGCGAAAGGCTTGATGGAGATGGCAACCTCATTCCACCAGCGCCTTTACCAGTGGATGTTGTTGACCAGAATCCACCACCTGCACCGCGTGGGAATGCTGTGATCGTTCCACAACAGAGGAACGTTCCAGAAGATCGGAATGTGAGGGAACCTTTACCTACAGCTGGTCGTGGACGAACACTTGGAGACTACAACAGGCCTGAGCAGTTCTATGAAAATCGTTCTGCGATTCGCGCCCCTGCGTTTCAAAGAAACGATTTTAAGCTGAAGCCTGTGTACTACACTCTTGTAGGTCAGCATCCTTTCCATGGCCACTCTCATGAGCACCCTATGGATCACATCGAAAGGTTTGAGGACTTGGTCACCAGCATCAAATACAATGGAGTGTCCAACGATTTCTTCCTCTGCAAGCTGTTTCCTTATTCTCTAGCTGGAGAAGCGGCTAACGGGTTGAAGCAGTTGGAGCCAGGATCACTCACCACTTGGGAAGAGACCAAGAATGCTTTCCTGCACAATTTTTTCGATGATGCTAGATCTGAGGAGTTGAGGACGAAAATCTCGACTTTCTCTCAGGAACCAACTGAAGCGTTCAAAGCTTCTTGGGTGCGATTCAAATCGTACCAGCGAGACTGTCCCCATCATGGCTTCAGCGATGTGCAGTTGCTGGGTATCTTTTTCAGAGGTATCGACTGGAGGTATCAGATGGCACTTGATGCAGCAAGCAATGGTAACTTCAACACCAGATACCCAGAAGAAGCTGTTGAGCTCATCGAAAATTTGGCATCCAGCAATAGCACCAAGAATGCAGATCTTGAGCGAAAGAAGCAAGCTGGGAACATGGATAGATCGCAGATCGCTGAGGTGAAAGCTAAACTTGACTCTGTGCACAGCCTTTTAGTGGGTAAGAAGTCTGTCAGATTCGCACAGGAGGTGGAGAGTTTCGAACCTGAGGATGAAGCTGAGGAAGAAGATGTCAACTTTGTCAGTGGATCAGGATTTCAGGGTCAGAGGTTTGGTAATCAGCAAGGTAACATAAGCTACAGTGGGAATTATAGTGGGAATAATCAGAGGAGTACCTTCAACAGTAATCAGAACTTCTCTGGTTACACGCCTAAGTCTCAGTACCAGAAGCCTTTTTCCAACAACAGTTTTTCCAGAAACTACAGCACTCCTTCATCTCAACCTCAAAATCCTGACAATGAGATGAAGTCTATGCTGGAACAAATTCTGGAAGGTCAGCAGAAGCTCACCGTGGACTTTAATGGAAAGATGGATGCTCTCTACCTTGATCTGAATGGGAAAATCGAAGCTTTGAACACTCATGTCAAGCAGCTCGATACGCAGGTAGCCCAAACTGCAGGTTCTGTTAAAAGGCAAGAGGGTTTTCTTCCTGGGAAGACTGACACCAATCCGAGGCATCACTGCAGTGCTATCACGTTGAGGAGTGGTAAAAATCTGAGTTCAGAGCCTAAAAAGACGCCTCCTGCACCTGAAGTCGTGGATTTGGAAAACCCTGAAGAAGTTCCTGAGATTGCAGAGCCGGTGTCGAGCGACCACACTACTAGTGTCGCGCGTCACCAATTGCAGAGCGAAGCTGTTGATGCTCCGAATCCGAAATCTGCAGAGGAGAAGGCCTACAAACCTAAAGTTCCTTACCCAAGGAGCCCTAGGAAGTCCAAGCAAGAGCTTGATGAAGCACGATGCAAGGCCCTGATGGAAAAGCTTGTGATTGAGATTCCCTTGGTTGATGCTGTAAAGATCACTCCTGTTATCAGACGTTATGTGAAGCGAATGGTGACTAATAATCTCAGTCATGAATAAGGAGTGATGATGATTTCTGAGCAGGTCAGTGCAGTGATTCAGAACCGAATCACAGAGAAGCTGTCTGATCCAGGAAGCTTTGTCTTGGATTGCTCTATCTTCACAGAGAGATTCAAGAGATCGCTGTGTGATCTGGGTTCAAGTGTTAACCTCATGCCTTATTCAGTGGCTGTCAATCTCGGTATGACTGATTTCAAGCCAACAAGGATATCTCTCATCCTAGCTGATCGTTCGACAAGGATACCTGAAGGGGTGCTAGAGGATGTTCCAATCAAGGTTGGAGACTGCATGATACCGACTGATTTTGTGGTTCTGGAGTATGGTGAGGAGCCTAAAGATCCTCTTATCCTTGGGAGACCTTTTCTAGCTACAGCAGGTGCTATCATCGATGTCAGAAAAGGCAGGATTGCTCTGAATGTTGGAGATCTGGTGATGAACTTTGACATGGACAAGCTGATGAAGAAGCCCACCATCGATGGTCAGACCTTCTATGTCGACACTCTCACAGAGTTTGCTGAGGAGATTTTCCATGAGATGCTGCCTACAGACCCACTTGAGAGAGCTCTGACCACGTCTGCATCTGAAGCTGAACACTTGGACGAAATTTCAGCATCTTACTCGAAGATGTTGGACTCCAGCGAGCATGTGATGCAGCTAACATCGCAGATTGAACAGCTTGAGACTCCTGCGAAGGTGAAGCAGCTATCCGACTGGAGTGAGGAGAAAGCGCCCAAGATTGAGTTCAAAAAACTCCCTGCAGGGCTAAGGTACGCATTCCTAGGCTCTAATTCTACTTATCCAGTCATTATCAACTCTTCCTTGAACAATGCTGAGGTTACCTTACTACTGAGCAAGCTGCGCAAGCATCGCAAAGCTTTTGGCTATTCTCTTGATGATATTTCAGGTATCTCACCAGACTTGTGCATGCATCGAATTCACCTGGAGGATGAGTCGAAGTCATCGATCGAACACCAGCACAGGTTGAACCCTAACCTGAAGGACGTCATCAAAAAGGAGATCATGAAGCTGCTGGAAGCTGGAATCATCTATCCAATTTCAGATAGTGCTTGGGTCAATCCTGTGCACGTGGTTCCTAAGAAAGGAGGGGTTACAGTTGTGAAGAATGACAAGGATGAGCTGATTCCAACGCGCACAGTGACTGGACACAGGATGTGCATCGATTACAGGAAGCTGAATGCAGCGACTAGGAAAGATCACTTCCCATTGCCCTTTATTGATCAGATGTTGGAGAGACTTGCAAGCCATCCCTACTACTGCTTCCTCGATGGGTACTCAGGATTTTTCCAGATTCTTATCCACCCAGATGATCAGGAGAAGACCACCTTTACATGTCCATACGGCACCTTCGCATATCGCAGGATGTCCTTTGGACTTTGTAATGCTCCTGCGACATTTCAGAGATGTATGATGTCTATCTTCACTGACATGATTGAGGATTTCATGGAAGTCTTTATGGATGATTTCTCAGTTTACGGATCATCTTTTAAGGACTGTCTGGATAATCTCTGCAAAGTTCTGGCTCGCTGTGAAGAGAAGCACTTGGTCCTTAACTGGGAAAAGTGTCACTTTATGGTCAGAGATGGGATTGTGCTTGGGCACAAGGTTTCTGCAGCTGGCATCGAAGTTGATCGCGCGAAGATTGAAGTCATGACGAGCTTGCCACCACCTGATTCTGCGAAATCGGTTAGAAGCTTTCTGGGTCATGCAGGGTTCTATCGTCGCTTCATCAAAGACTTTAGCAAGATTGCACGTCCTCTTACTGCTCTGCTATGCAAGGATGCTAAGTTTGAGTTTACAGATGCGTGTCTTGCTGTGTTCAAACAGATCAAACATGCTCTGATAAGCGCCCCTATCGTGCAGCCTCCTGACTGGAATTTGCCTTTTGAGGTGATGTGTGATGCTAGTGATTTTGCTGTTGGTGCTGTTCTAGGTCAGAAGAAGGACAAAAAGCTTCATGCAGTCTACTATGCCAGTCGAACTCTGGATGATGCTCAAAGGAATTATGCTACCACTGAGAAGAAGCTGTTGGCTGTGGTCTTTGCTTTTGAGAAATTTCGAACATACCTTGTGGGATCGAAGGTGATTGTGCACACAGATCATTCTGCACTCAAATACTTGATGCAGAAGAAGGATGCAAAGCCGAGATTACTGCGATGGGTGTTACTCCTTCAAGAGTTCGATATTGAGGTCAAGGACAAGAAGGGTGTTGAGAATGGTGTTGCAGATCATCTCTCACGCATCAGGGTTGAAGACGACGTACCCATAGATGATTTCCTGCCAGAAGAGAATGTATACTATGTGGAAACCGAGTTCCAAAGCAGGTTTGACGAAGAATTGCAGGTTTTTCGAATTGGAGAAACGTCAGTGACGAGCGACACCACCACTAGTGTCGTGCGTCACCTTGCTCAGCCGAACACAGAGACGTCTCGAATTCGAAGCAGACTTCCTGAGATCAGTTCAGCTGCTGTATCTGCCACCCAACGTCCTTGGTATGCTGATATTGCCAATTATCTCGCTGCAGAGGCTGAGCCTGAGAACTTTAAGGGCTATGCAAAGAAGAAGTTCCTGAGAGAGCTGCGAAGATACCACTGGGATGAGCCATATCTGTACAAGCACAGTTCCGATGGGATTTACAGAAGATGCATTGCAGAGTCAGAAGTTCCAGAGGTGCTGTTTCATTGTCATGGATCCGAATATGCTGGACACTTTGCGACATTCAAAACAGTGTCTAAGGTTCTTCAAGCAGGCTTTTGGTGGCCTACCATGTTTCGCGACGCGCATGCTTTCATCTCGCAGTGCGATGCTTGTCAGAGGAGAGGAAAGATCAGCAAAAGACATGAGATGCCACAGAATTTCATCCTTGAGGTTGAGGTATTTGATTGCTGGGGTATCGATTTCATGGGTCCTTTTCCCTCTTCTTATGGGAACAAGTACATACTGGTTGCTGTTGATTATGTTTCAAAGTGGGTCGAAGCCATTGCCAGTCCCACCAACGATTCTTCAGTGGTTCTTAAGATGTTCAAGACCATCATCTTTCCTCGTTTTGGAGTGCCTCGAATTGTTATAAGTGATGGTGGTTCTCACTTCATTAACAAGATTTTGGAGAAACTCCTCAGGAAATATGGAGTTCATCATCGAGTTGCAACTCCTTATCACCCTCAGACGAGTGGACAAGTCGAAGTCTCGAATCGTCAGATTAAGGAGATCCTGGAGAAGACAGTGGGCAAAACTCGAAAGGATTGGACTGCAAAGTTGGACGATGCACTCTGGGAGTACAGGACAGCATTCAAAACACCTCTAGGCACCACACCTTTCCACCTGCTCTATGGAAAGCCCTGTCACCTTCCAGTGGAGATCGAACACAAGGCAGCCTGGGCGATAAAGCTGATGAATTTCGACATCAAGTCTGCTGCAGAAAGGAGACTGATACAGCTGAATGAGTTGGATGAAATCAGGCACCATGCCTATGAGAATTCGAAGTTGTACAAAGAGAGGACCAAGCGTATCACGATTCAAAAATCCTCTCCAGGCAATTCGAACCGAATGATCAGGTACTTCTGTATAACTCTCGTTTGCAATTGTTTCCTGGTAAACTTCGTTCTCGATGGTCAGGTCCTTTAATAGTCAAAGAGGTTCGCCCCTATGGTGCCATCGTCCTCCTCACACCAGATGGCAGCAGGGAGTTCACAGTGAATGGAAAAAGGGTGAAGCATTACTGGGCCAAAGCTGAAATTCCGGATGGACACATTGTTCCTCTGGATGGTGCACCTCCTGCCTGAATCACCATTAAGTCAAGCTAATGACTTTAAACAAGCACTTGGTGGAAGGCAATCCACTGGTGAGTCTATACATAAGTCCTTTGTTTCAGTTGATTTTCGTTTTTCTTTTTCGTGTTTTAGGTAAAACAGGGCTGGTGTCGAGCGACACCACTCTCGGTGTCGCCTGTCACCTATTAAAAAAAAAAAAAAAAAA